GCTCAGTAACTGACCCAGAACACAAAGCTAATGAGTATACTGCCAGCATTTGAACCCAGATGGCCTGGTTCCAAAACTTGTGCATTTAACATCTTGACCAGCCGCAGGTGACTCCGTAAATCTAAAGTTTAAATGCAATAAAATTAAACTTACAGTTCCTCTGTCACACTGGCTACAGTTCAAGCACATCAGTAGCCATCTATGGCTCAAGGCTTCTGTATTAAACTCAGCAGACAGAACATTTCCATCATCACAGAAAGTCCTATTGGACCGCACTGATTATTCTACCTTAACGTTGACATCAACCGCCTCTGTGCCAGCCACCCCCATCCCCTCTCTGTTCTCAGCCCAGAAGCAATTGTTTGAGTGTTCGAGGTTAGTAGAATGTGCCCCTTAGAATCTAGAGCATTTTCCTGGTGCCTGTTGGGTAACTTCTACTCTTCAGGATGGGCACTGTTAGCCCGCAGATTGCTCCAATAATCACTACTAACAGTAGCCAGCCTGCACCAGTCACCAGACCCACACCTTACTCGATGCTCATGCTAACTCTGTGCGGTAGACGCTGTCACCCCCATTTTACGAATTAGGGAGTAGAGGTTCACACAAGTCAAACAAGCTGCCTAAGGTCACACAGCTCTTAAAGCTGGGACACCAGCCCAAGCACGTCTGTCTCTGAGGTCTACACCCTTTGCGTTAAGTTTCCCAGTGCTTGACTGCTGGTTTCTAGACAATCCCAGAAGGTCTATTCCCTTCTGCCAGGGCCTTGAGAGAAGTCAGTGGACCTAATGAAACCCAGGCGCTTAGGATCACACCTGCCTCCAGTTCTGCCCAGGCCAGCTGAAGGAGTCCACATCATTGCTTGGCCTCTGTCCTACCCCTGGGTTGTTCCCAAGGCTTTGGAAGCAGCCAGATGGAGCTCACTCTCCTGCTTCAGGGACCTCTAGAAGTGAGTCCTCTTGGACTATTGTGCAGAAGAAAAGGGGGAAAAGGCACGCGTGCTTTCAGCCAGGAGTGTGGCCAGCTGAGCCTGCCATTCATGTGCCCTGCTCCCTGTTTCCTAGGGCACTGTCTCCCATAAGCCTTTCTTTTTTTCTTTCCTGTGGTCTGGAAGGTAGGAGTGGAAGGAGGGGAGAGGAGGGTGAAAGGCTAAAGAGGGACAGAGGTGAAAGGCTCTGTCGGTTGAGGCCATGTGTGGGAGTTCCAGACGAATCCCATTATTTGTGAATGGGATCTGTCTGTTCACCTCGCAGGCAACGAGCCAGGTATTTTGTAAGCCCTACAAACAGGGGTTGGCAGGTTCCTTAGCGTGTCAAGCACTCCAGCTATGTTTAGGCTGATGTAAACATCTTATCAGCAAAGCTGAAACTTGGCACTTGCTCCTGGAGCTGGATTCCTGAGGGAAAAAAAGCAATCACATCATTATGCAACTGGGGGTGAGGGCTGAGGAATGGGAGCTCGCTGAGGCTGCTTCCTGGCCAGGCTTCCCTGTTTCCAGGGGGCAGAGTCTCCTGCGCTCTTGCCCTAGGAAGGGTCAAATCTGATGGGCCAGGGACCAAGCCCTAGGGTTTCTTCAGAGGCAACCTGCAACTCTCTTTACAAGATTTCTTCCTTTTGAGTCCCAATTTCACAATCTCAAAATTGGGGAGATGATGTTTTACAAAAAAGGCGTTAGCACAAGATGCCAGCTGCTCAGCATTGGTCCCGGAAGGCTTGAGGTTTAAGAAGGATCTGTGTTCCCAAGCTGACCAGATCAGACTGGGGCTCTCGGGCAATGCAGCTGAGTGGGGACCATGCACCAGCCATGTCCCCAGGGAAAACCAAAGGCACAGGGGTGTACATTTGTGTACAAAGGAGGGGCTGAGGCATCAGCGGAGGCTTTCCGAAACTAAGATTTTCAGGGAGTCTCCTCCTTTGCAGTTCAGGGAGCTCACAGCATCTTCTCCAGATACTAAATAACTGTAGGGCTGAGCAGGCTTGAGAGCCATTTTTTTTTTTTTTTTTCAAGGCAGTGGATTAGACTTGAGAGCATTTGGATGTCCTTCTGGTTGCTATTTCAGAAGATAATTTCCATTGCTACAAATTCTTATAGAGAGCTACAAGAACTATGTGGTTCAGTGTGTCTGTTAAAATCCCAAATCCTGGTCCTCCCCTTCTCTCTTGTCTTGCTGAGCTTCTGGAGATGGGAGGCACTGCTATCCCCACTGCTAGCTCCTCTAAGAAACTATGGCAGGAAAGCCTGACGTTTGCAGTGCCTCTTGCAGTTACCTAGGGGCAAGGACCTGGGGAGGTGGGGTTGGCTGTCAGTCTGTGAGCCTCCGATTCTCAGTCGGCACCCTAGGCAAAAGGCTAGACCCGACTTACAGTCCCACAGAGAGAGGGCTCAGGAGCCAGTGAAGGAGAAGGTCAGACGGCTCACTCCACCACCTGGTGTCCATATATACCTTTCTGTGCACCACACAAGTGTGGGCTACTTGCTAAAGAATGTGAACAAGATGGTGCCCCTGGTGGTGTGGGGGCCCCAGCACAGCAGATGACCTCCAGCCACCATGTCAGGTAAGTGGGAGCCCATGACCAGCCTGGCCAGGGCTGGTCCAACATCCCTGCTCTTGAATGACCTGGGGACCTCATGCCCTTAATTCTCACTGGGAAAAGGCGGGGCATTTCCTAGGGAGTCTCCTCCACTAGTGCCCCTAGGACCTGAAAAAGAGAAAGAAATGCCCCAGCCAGCTAGGCTGAGACATAGCACTCTGATTCTTAGCAATACAAACAAGGAGATTCCTCCCCCAGAGCTCCCATGGCAGCCAAAGCCAAGTGCAGTGGGAGTCCAGGAGAAGGCTGGGCCTGGGCCAAATGCATTTCCAGCGGCTTCTTCTGCTCTGTCATCCTTATGCTTGGCTCACTTGCTCTTCACACTGTGGGTCCCACCGCTTCCTTGCTGCACACCTGGGAGAGGCAAGGCAGGGGAGCACGGCAACATGGAAACACTCTGAGCTCAGCAACCAGTGCCATACTTTTCCTACTGGGGGTCTCCCTAGGGCCCCAGACTGCCGAGGAGGTGGGGGAGAGGCCAAAGAGAGTAAAGAAGCAATTGGAGAAGAGAGAGGGTCCTGCACTGATGTCCTTCATCGCTCCTCATTCTCAAAGCAGCAAGGGGCGGGGCACCTGGGTGGCTCAGTCAGTTAAGCTTCCCACTTCGGCTCAGGTCATGATTTGCAGTTTGTGAGTTAGAGCCCTGTGTTCGGCTCTGTGCTGACAGCTCAGAGCCTGGAACCTGTTTCCGATTCTGTGTCTCACTCTCTCTGCTCCCCTCCCCACTAGTGCTCTCTCTCTCTCTCTCTCTGTCTCTCGAAAATAAATAAAACATTAAAAAAACCAGCAAGGGGCAATGTCCCTCTCCAAAGGTATACGCACTTACTGGAACCACAGTGAGTCAAGCTTAAACACTCTGAGCTGAGCAAGCTGGAAAGGAAGGCCTCCCTGCTGCGTGGGACAGCGGAGCCAACACAGCAGTGGGCTGGCTATGAAGGTGTATGACCACACTACCTTCCTCCTCTGACAAATGTCATCACCGAAGGCAACTCTGGTATTAATTCCTCTTTGTTGAGCACCTACTATGTGCTGGGCACTGGGTCAGGTGCTCTCTATATTGTCTTGTATCCTCAAGACAATGCTAGGACATTGGTATAACCGTTCCTATTTTGCTGGCGAAGAAATCGAGGCCCAGAGAAATTGGTAGCTTACTCAAGGACACTCAGTCATTTTGATTATCCTTCGAAGCATATGCTTTTACTCACCACACTGCTGCCTATCCTGGATGCTGCAAGGACAGCGACAGCATAGCCAAAACAAACCCAGATCAAGCCAGCAAGCAAGCTTACCCCTGGCATTGTCTACACTTGGGGAGGCAGAAGTGGCAAATCAAAGACCTTTGAATATCAAGGCATTTTCTTTGGGAAAAACTGTGTATTGTTGATCATTCTTGGAAGAGACTCCTCTTGGAAGGAGAACATAATTCACCTGGGACGTAACACTTGTCTTTCCCCCATCCTCATGGGGGATATAGAGCCAGTGGGGGTGTGTGTCTGCTTCTGTTTTTATCCAAACCAGGACACTTTTGAGAGTGAAGATGATGCTACTAATAATTATGCCAGAACAGGCCTAAGTGGGGATTGTGCTGGACACACTGGGATATGTGGGCTTGTGGGAGACATTTTCCCAGAGGATGTGGGTAAAGGGGAGATGGAATCGCTAGGACTTAACCCTTTCCTGAAATCCCTTGCTGGTAGCCTGACATCTTGGGAGTCCTCTGGTCTTCTCTGGGGATGATGATTACCACTTCTAGGACTCTCCCTGCTAAGCAAAGAATTCAGAGCTCAGCTGGCAGCTGATCCACCGGCAGGATGGATTTCTCAGACTGAGTGTGGGGCACGGCTCAGCCTGCCCCTCACTGCGTTCCTGCTCCAGGTTCATCCAGGGAACAATCAGCAGCAGCCGGATGCAGACAGAGTTAATGGCCTCTTCCGAGGTGGTCCCTGCTTTCAGAAAGCCCCCTTTGTCTGAGCTCATTAACTCTGAAACCAGATAAGAAGGTGGGAGGTGGAGGGGGGCGCCCTTCTGTCAAGGGATTAAGTGAACTCAAGTGTACAGAGTTCTGGAAAACTTCATTGTCGCTTAACAGTGTGACCAGCTTCTAGCATGGCTAATTCTTTCCCTTGGCCTTGAGGTGGTTTCTTCCCAGGATAGGGCCTCCCACTTTGGCTGGGCATCTTTGGACTGCTGGATTCAATGACCTATTCCCACAATATGGACAAGTGTAGGGCCACAGAGCCACACACCCTTCTCATGCTAACGCAACCTCATGGCACAAGAGAAAAAGAGCACTGCACTCAGGTTCAGGACACTTGGATTGTGACCCAGACCTGCTGCTTACTAGTTGTGTGACCTTGAGAAAGTCACAGATTCCCTGTGAGCTGAACCTTTTTCCTCTGCCTCCCTCACAGGTATTTCCGCTGAGGTGATGCATACAAACCATTATGCAAATTGAACGCACTCAGAGCATGGTTTCCCCACATAGTGCTGAATTTTCTAGAAGACTCATCATGAAAAGCGGCCTCACTGATGCTTACATTAGCACTGATGACCTAGTCTAGGTGTCTGGCCTCACAGATGAGGAAATGCAAGCCCTCAAGGGGGTAAAATTCCTTCATCCTTACCTTACACCACTGCCTGCTAAGATACCCCAAAGTGCCTTCCATCTGTGCAAATGAAGTCTCTAGGAGATGCCTCGGAGAGTTACTTATAAAGAACTGGATTCTATTTTGGGGATATGGATCTGGGCAGGCAAGGTCTTGGGGAACTAGAACATGACATTCATTCTTGTCTTAGCTGAGCTCATGGACATGTTTAGGAAGTCCAGGGGATTGAGCTGAGAAGTTCAAGTCTATCCTGTGGCATCTCCACAGCTGGTAAGCAGTCAAAGCAGAGGGGTCAGTGGGAGGTCACAGAAGCAGCTGTGCCTTAGCCCCTGCCCCACCCCAGCGTGGTGACAGCAGGCAGGGGTGTAAGTGGGCTGTGACATAATGAGACCAAAAGGGAGGTGATGGAGTTGGTACAGCTGAGACAGGACTTTTCCTTCAGGTATAAGACCTGGAAGCAGATCCCCTAGGGAGAGGCCCTCAGCCTATACAGATGCCTGATGCCTATTCTGATATGCTTTTCTGACCCATGGAGGCTGGCTGGGTGCAAGGTGTGTGTCTGTGGGTGGTCCAGAAACAGCATATGGGGAGGGAGAGGGGATGGGACAAACATGTACTGGGTCATCCGGTCAGAAATCTGTAAGGGTAGAAGTGTTCCTAGGTGCCTCTGTGAAGAGAACCCGAGGCAGACCCAGCCCAGCCCAGCCAAGTATATCCTTGAGGTAAGTACTCAGTATCTTAAGTTACTAGGTGATGGGCTGAGTGAGATGGTAGGAAGACAGTAGGGAAAACATGTTGGCTCTGAAGCCTGAAAAGTAATTACTTTACCTGATGCTTCCTTGTGCTCTTGTCTTTCCTACCTCCTGGTTCTCAGACAGATGTCAGAAACTGGTCCATGCATGGGGAGTGGCTCAGCACCTCAGCTCAGGGTTTGCAATGATTGTACTTTCAGCCTTTCTCTGGTAGAGCTCCCTAATAGCCAGGTGTGGTGGCCCTAACCTGTGATGGGAGAAGCCCCATTAACCACCCTTTTGAGGACTTGCTTGAGGAAAGGAGTCAGGGGAGTTGGCTGGTGCCTCCTTTTGCTTTCAGGGTGGGCAGGGAAGCAGATATACAGTCATCATAGACCTAAAGCCCATTGGAAAGACCACACCGATGGCTCAAAGCTGCCTTACCAGCACGTGGCAGAAGTGAATACTACAACAGTGTGCAAAGGAGCCTGCTTCTACAGTAACCAGAGAAGCAGCCACATGGGCCACTCACCCCTATCTCTTCCCATCCTTCCAACTAGATGCATTTCCCCGTGATTGCAGAGTGAGAAAGATGGGGTGCATCATCTAGACTGTTCGGCACAGGTGATGCTGAAGCACTCGGTGCCCCCAACAGTTGGGCATGGGCTGATCCTAGAATAGGATCACTGGCCAAGATTGCCATTACTGAAAAAGTATCAACTAAACTGCGGCAGTGGCCAGGATCCCTGCTGCAGGGATCTATGACCGCTGGGAGGGCAGGTCTTCTCTACCTAGCACGCCCCTGGTTTTGTGCTCCTCAGGGGAAGAGAAAGTACGGCCCTCTCCTGGAACCCTTGTACTTCACCTGGTGCTTGGGGGAGGTGTTGGGACACAGGGTGACACAGATACCTCTTGCTGAGTCTGCACCACCTCTGAATCTAGTTAGACGTGGTCTGGCTACAGGAGCTGTCCCCTGAACTCCATGTTCCTGCCCAGCCAAGCTCAGTAGAGAGCTGTGTCTGGGCTGGGAGCAGCTGGGGTGGACCAAGGAGAGTTCTGGCTCCACAAGGAGCGTTCACTGAAAGAGTTCATATCCCCACTACTTTCTCCCCTCCCTTTTCCACTGAAGCTTCAGTCTCCCAGGCGAACCCCCAGGCAGAAATTCTGTTCCCCTCCCTTCTTGTGCTGATGCTGGCACTGCGAAGTTCTGCCTGGGGCTGAGTGCCAGGTTGGCAAGGTAGTCCACGCCCCTTGATCAGAACCAGCTGGGTACACAGAAGTTGGGCAGCCCCCTTCCAGGTTCAACTCCCTCCAAACAATGTCTTTTACTTATGGCAACCTCAGTTCTGTACACGAAGGGAATGAAACAGCCACATCTTTCCAACCCAGCTGACTTTCCTTGGGAACCTGTCAGGTCTGGAGCCAGTAGAGGGCTGGGAAATGGAGGGTGGGGTGGATGCTCTTCCAAAATGTCCAATTTTCATCTCTGTTGGGAGAGGCAGGTGCCTGGGTTGGGGGTGGGGGAGCTGTTGTGCTTGAAAACCCACTTTTAGTTCAGTTTGCCAAGTGCTGAAGGAGATTCAGGATGCGAGGGGTGAAGGTGAGTAGCAGAGGAGGAGGCGCCAGGACCTCCACTCTAAATTAGAAAGGACGGGGGGTGGGGGAGGGCAGCAGGTAGCCCAGGGGTCAGAGGCTAAGAAAAGAGTTCCTGCACCTTCTCAGAAAGGAAAGAACCTTGTTTGGGGTCGGTCTTGGAAGGATGAGGGATGTGAAGGGTTTTCTCAGAGGAACTGGAAAGGGAAGATTTTGGAGGCTCTAGGAGGTGACTGGGGGCCTCCAGGCAAAGCGAATCCTACCTGCAGGTCGGCTCCATAGAAGGCAGCCATGGACGCATCGGCCACCAGCAGCGTTTCCACGAAGCGAGCCTCAGACACAAAACGCTTGGTCCGACTCGTGGCCCCCAGGGGTGGTGGCTGCTCGCTGGCGCCTTCTGCATCCTCTTTGCCCTCCTCCTCCTCCTCCTCCTCCTCCTCCTCCGTTTCCTCCTCCTCCTCCTCCTCCTCTTCCTTCTCCTGCTCCTCGTCTCCTTTCTCCTGCCTCTGACCCTCTCCCTTCACCTCCCACTCGGGTCCTCCAGGGAGGGGGTGGGCTTCAGAGGCGGCGGCGGCGAGCCCAGGGGTCCCGCGGCGCGGCCCGGGCCCCCAGCGCTGCAGGCGGTGAGGCTGGTGCAGGGAGCCCCCAGCTCCCTGCGGCTGGATGGTGAACTCCTCGCCGTCCAGCAGGAAGGAGCCGCTCAGCCCGCGGCACAGGCTGACGGCCGCCAGCGACTCGGGCTCCCCATTCACCGTGCCGGAGAAGAAGCAGTCGCGCAGCTCCCGCTCGCCCCCGGCCGCCCCGCCGGAGCCCCCGAGGCGCTCGATCTTGAAATTGGGCGCTAGGAAGCTGGCGTCCGGCGCCAGGCGCAGCACGAAGCCCTTGCCGAAGGCGGACAGGTGGAACGTGAGCTCGCCCGCGCTGCCCGGCAACCGCGTGGGCTCCACCAGCTCCGAGGCCTGCCCCCGGGCGCCGGGCCGGGCCGGGGCGCCGCGGGCCAGCGGCGGCGGCGGCA